TGGGCGGGTTATATGGGTGAAAATACGGTAGTCTATCAGTATCACCACGTGGATGTAAACTGTAGTGCATTGTCGTTAGTTTCCTGGTTTTTCGGTCCAAACCGTCCAAATCAGCTTGTGTCCAGTTAACTATACCAGCTGTGTATCTTATAACTGGTATTGCCCAGGTATTTATGGCCTTGATTGTATTTCCACCATTATTATTATTATTATTATTATTATTATTATTATTATTATTATTATTATTATTATTATTATTATTATTAAAAATGTGTTCATCAAGACTGTAAAACCAACAATCTTGGTGGGGAATAATTGCCAACAATTCTTTTGTCGCAAATAACAATTGCATTTTATGGAAGCAATGCAATACATCTGGATAACTGACAGAGTTACCTTATGGAAAGGTTTCAGCATTTCACTAAAAAGCAACAATGAAACCTATCCTACTGCAAGTGCCTCTTGCTCCTGTGAATTACTGGTGTGTATGCACACCATTTTAAATAGCTCCATTTGTTTTCTGCAATTTCTAAGTAGGCCTGAGAAAAGACAGCAGGAAGAAGGGATGGAGGAAAAAAAGTTTACCTCATTTAGCGTCTTTTTAGCCTCATCACATCCTGCCTGTAGAGCAGCACATTTAGTCTTCAACTATTTATCAGAGAAGAAAAAAACAGCAAAAAGAAATGAACTGATCACAAATTTGATAAGTTTTTAAGTTGTGTATCTGAATGATTCATGAAAGATAGGGAAGAAGCTTGTCAAAACATACCTCATCCAAGTGTTTGGTTTTCTGTAAAATCTGTTTGTTTAAGGACGCCACCTTCCTTTTATGCTGCTGGGCAGCTCCAAGTCTCTCTGGGCGTTCTTCGGAAGAAAGTTCTGATTGCTGGATGTGGGGTAGGATGGGACGAGGAGGGATGTAAAAAAAGAACAGAGAAGAAAGTTGTCACTTAAGGTTTTTCCAGCTTCTGAAGTACAGTTTTTTGGCTGCAGTTTATTCACAGGTCTCTACAAAAGGGCAGATGTATACTGTTTGATATGGTCACCTTCTTAATCAACATGCGTTGCAATATTTAATAATAGTAACTACAATCCTTATGTTGATCAAGTCTAGTTTCTCAAGATAGTTACAGAAAGACTGAGCTATGAACATATGTGTTCTTTCTTAAGACTTAAGTCCTATAGAAAACAAGAAAATGAGCATGGATAGGAATTGGGACCAAGGCATGTGGTCCAATTTCTTTAGAATTTTAATGCATTACTTTTGGTATTACTGCTTCATTCTGTATTATTTCCAACTCAACTAAATGTTGGCAATAAATTATATATTTGGTTTTGAGACTTTCCCTTTGTGTGGTGATATACTTTTCTGCAAATAAAATTCAAAATTAGCACTGGCTCACCCCATAATGGGTAGAAGTTTGGGTTTTTTTTAAAAAAAGTTGACATATAGGAAGTTGAAAACAAAACAGCCTTAGATCAAAGTTTGTTTAAAAATGAGAATTTCCTACCTTTTCAGCATATTCTGATACAATCTGCTTGATTTCATCAGACTGAAGTCCAACTATCTGGCCTACGGTGCTTGCAGTCAATCTGCCCTGAAAGCATAGCTCAAGTTGGTTTAAGGCATAGAAGATCAGGGATACAATGAAAACTGTTTCAAGGAACTTAATGGTTTCCACCGATGCTCCAGTTCCATTGTGTTTTTTCCTTTTTCCTTCCCATCCCACTTTTTCCTTTTAGAATCATGTCTGTTTGGTTGCAAGGTTATCCCATAGGCAGTGACTCTCTCTCTCTCTCTCCAATTCATAACTGGGTACAGGTAGTTCTCAACTTACGATCACAGTTGAACCCAAAATTTATGTTGCTAAGTGAGAAATATATTAAGTGAGTTTTACTCCGCTTTGCAACCTTTTTGCCACATTTATTAAGTGAATCAATTGTTAAATTAAATTCACTTAGCACTTAATACGATTGTTAAGTGAATCTGGTTTCCCCACTGACTTTGCTTGTTAGAATGTTGCAAAAAGGGATGACATGACCTAGGGACACTGCAACGGTCATAAATATGAGTAATTTACTAAGCATCCAAATTTTGATCCCATGGCCATAGATATGTTAAGACTGTCATAAATGTGAAAAAATAGTCATAAGTCACTTTTTTCAGTGCCGTTGTAACTTTAAATGGTCATTAAGTGAACTGTTGTAACTCGAGGTCTACCTGTATTTGGTATTTACTTAAGGAGTTCTTAAGAATGGCCTTCCTAAGAATGGCGTTTAGACTTCCCTAAGGCTTTGAAGATCCAGCTTTTCTCTCAAATGCTAGGAGAAGCATATTACAACAAATTTGGTACCAGGTTTTTATTGTTTCTAATGTTTTAATCGGTTGAGTTTTATAATTTTAATATGATTTTATACTTTTATATATTTTACTTTTGGATTGGGAGCTGCCCAGAATTGATTGAAAGATGGATAGCTATATAAATGTTTTAAATAAATGGACTTTTTGGCAAAAGAGCAAATAAAAAATAGCAATAATATGAAACCCTTGAAAGACTGAGAGGATTTCTGGGTAAAATACAATCTTTGTTTCTACTCCTTTAAATTGAACACCACCATGTCTTTACAAGCTGCACAAACAGTTGATAGTGGAAAAAACCTTTAATGGGGAATATTTTTCCTTGAGCCTCCTACTTTTTTCCTTGTTTCAATTTATACTGTAGTTTAATGGCTCAGGTTGTCCCACCCAGTTAATTCTACTTCAAGAGTTGCAATCAAATTGTATATAGTGGAAAGCCGCAGTATTCCAAATTTATGCTATTTATGAACTAATGCTATTGAACTGGCTTATTAGATGCAAAAGGCAACTGAAAAATGGTACATGCATACTATTTTTTTCTAAAAGGTTACAGTTCTTTGCTTAATTTCAGCTCATAGTTAGAACATTTAAATAAGAAATTTGATAAAACATCCATTTTCAAAAATATTTGCACTTGTGTCTCCCTCTTAAACTGCCAAATGCAATTAAATAATAAGCATTAAAAGCAAATAAATAACTTCTTTCTTAAGACTCTAAATTTACCTTTTCTGTCCCCATTGCAGCCATCTCAGTCATCAATGTTTTGATGCGAAGCTGATTTAAAAAAAAAAGAGGGGGCAGCATCAGAAAGTTAGCTTCTGAATAAGATCCCAAGGATTTTAGTCAAGAAATATCAATTATGGGTACCTCTTCAGCAGCTTGAAAGTCATCCTCAGTATAAGCATCATTTTTTCCTGATGATGCAAGCCCAGCTGGCAGTACAACTTTCTTGTCTTCAGGCTATTACAAAGGAAAGGATGTTTGTATGATTAAAATTAAAAATGGATGGAATCACAAGACAAAACTCACAAGACAAAAAAAGCCATCAAGATACAGCCTAAATTCATTAAAGAAATAATGCTGAATCCAAACAAGCACAGTTTGGTTCACACATGATTCTAAATTCATGGTTTGCTGAGTCAAACACAGGATGGGTTTAAACATTTAAGGACATAATTCTGTCAGACAACCATCAGTTAGCATAGAAAATTTATTCAAACCTATACATAAGAATCTAGTCAACTAAAGTTTAACACTAAACTGGTGCCAGATAAGTTACAATAAAATTCAGGAGTCTAGTTGAGGGGCTGTGTACAGTGTGTTTATCAAGAAAGAAACAATCTTACCTTCTCAATTTTTCCTTGCTTGCTGAACCCATACCTCCTGTAATACGTAAACAGAGAGAACAAAAAGATTTTGCAGCTTCCTTTTAGTTTAATAAAAGACGCCACTTTGTCCATGCATAAGGCACTCTCCACACAAAAAATAGAAGTGACAGCTCTGGGTTAGTTGTGAGTTCAAAATAGTATGGTGAACAAGCATCTTATCTATAATAATTGAACTTTCACCAACACTCCATAACAGTGCAGCAACAAGCCATGGGGCGATTCCCTATACTGTAAAATGTATGAACAGTGAGGGATTACTTCTTGGCCTCCAATCCTTTCAAAGACTAAAGGAGGTGATTGATATGGCTTCATTGTAATAAGCAAGTCCTTTTCAATCCTTTCAGACAGTCTGGGAGAACTTTAACCTTCAATCTTCCTATAAGCAATCTGAATTTACTACTCTTTCATTGATCTTGTTATTTTTCAGTGGTTTTCAATGGTTTGGGAAGGGAGGGATTTGCCTTCAGAGGCCTCCAACTCTCCTCCCCAACCTTAATTTCAATAAAAAGAGAAATCAGCCATACTCAAAAAAATGTTGCCATTAAAATTCAGCAGCTCAATCCTGGATGCTGAGAAGGGTACCTGAACCCAAGACTGCCTAAACTAATATAACAGCTGGGGCTCCAATGGGGGAGTATCACGCTGGAGGTGGTTGATAGATTAATAACAGATGCCACCCCCCTCTCCTGCTCAGTCTATTCCCTCCATCCCCATCCTTCACTTATAGCTGATAATTTGTATTTTTATGGTATTCTATTCTTATTGCAGACATGTTTTTGTATAGTTTCATTCTTTTTTTAACACTATAAACCACCCAAACCCACCTTGTGTTTAAGATGGACAGCCAACAAATTTAATAATTAAATAAAAAAAAACAGTACACTGTCCCAATGACTAATAAATAAATAAAATAAATAAATAGTTGCTCACAGTTTTGCTACTCTAGTGCTGCTTGTTGCTGGAACATCTAATAAAAGTCCATCTTCCTTCCAAGAGCTCTGCAAAGCTAGACTCTCCCTAATGTGGTACATTTTCTTTTCACATGCCCTCTCTGGTGAACTTCTTGTTTGAACATTTCTTTCAGCTGCAGCTCTACCTCACCTTTCCCTATGAGCAGTCAAAGCTTGTTAGGAATTCTGTTCCATTCTATAGAAATTCTATTTTGTTCTACAGAAATTACAGCAGATTATTAAATAGCCGTACAGCTTGGTAACTGAGGATGGTTACATAGCCATACAAATCAAAATAAAGGGTACAGTGTACAGTCACCGTGGGCCTTGCTGCTTAATGGTTTTAACTTCTCAACTGTCACACAAAACTCTCCTCAGAACAAACAGAACCATGGATTATAAACATAAATGCAAACTAAACATTGCCATGTACTGTCTGAATGATTCTGTAATTTTTGCAATACAAAATACATTCTAATATGTATTCCAACAAAGCTATAAAACACAGCAGGTGAGAGAGGCCACAGGTTGGGGATGGAACATAGGCTTAGCATGCAAAGGTCCAGTCCCTGACATCTTTCCTTTGCATGGAAAAAGCTTGAGGCTAAACTCTGGATGGAAAATAATAGAATCCTTATTGTTTAAGAGATCATTTAAGATTACAATCCTCAATTACGACCATAATGGAACCTGCCTATTATGGTTGTAAGTCGTAATAGTCATAAAACAGGTTGGACATGTGATCGACCTGATTCTAGGACTTTTTTTTGTAGTGATTGTTAAGGGAATGCAGTGATTGTAAGTATGAAGCTATTGTTAGCTATGAGTGCAGTTTTGTTAAAAACTGCAAGTGCAGCAAAACCACCAAAAAACATGGACATGTGATCTTGGGATGCTACAAACGGCCATAAATATGGCTGAGTCTCTGAAGTGTAATCATGTGACTGGGGGGGGGGATGGGCTAGTATCTGGCATTTAGGCTTAGCAATCCAATCCGCCATGTTTTATTAATCATTAATATTGCGTAAAACACAAGCCAAGATTAAGGATATCACACCAAATGTGGATCTGGAACAAAGATGAATATCTGTATATTCTGATTTGTTTGGAATATATATTTTGGCATGGAAGAAATAATGAGAGTGAAATAAATTATAAATCATTGTGATAGCTAAAGAATGAAATCAGACTACTTTGGCTTTGTGATAATGCACCATCTAATATGTAATATAGCTGGGGTTAAGGAAAAGTTAATTTTCATTCAATACCTCTCTCCCCCACCCTCTCAAAAAAGAAATGTTTTACCCTGAACATTTAAATAACAAAGAATGTTCATCAAATACCACTACTGAATAATAAAAATGCAGCCATATTAATGAGAACAATGCAAACTCAATTAGAACAAAACACACAAAGGAAAATACTCACAAGAAATATTCAGTGAAACTAAGAGGAGGAAAAATATAGCAAAGACTGCAGTGGAAAAGCCATAATTGGTAAAATTAGCCACTGTTTCTCAATGAGTATGTAAAAAAAATTAAATCTGACACTACAATTAGTCCCCGAACTGTGGAATATTCTCCCCCTCCTGGAGGTGAGGCAGGCTCTCATTCTATCGGCCTTCTGAAAAAGAGTTAAATCAGGGGTGGGTTGCTGCCAGTTTTACTACCGGTTTGCAACCCATGCTATAGGTGTGTGCGCAGTTAAATGTAAATTGTTCTTCGCACATACGCAGAACAATTTACAGTTAACTGCGCACACGCAGTCACTAAAAACCAAAATGGCGGAGGCCCAGCGGTGGTGAGGGAACCGGTTTGGGGGCATGGCAGGCATGGGTCGCTGCCAGTTCTGCGACCCAGGCCTGAATTCCACTACCGGTTAGCTGAACCGGGAGCAGCCCACCTCTGAGTTAAACCATGGTTCCATAGCCTCCACGGGGAGCTCAGAGAAGTGTGCGACTATGGGGCTGACTAGTGAATCTTCTTTGCCATTTAACTGATTTTTAATTCTGTTTTAACATTCTTGGCACTTTCTAAAGTTTTTAACCTTTATATACTTTTTATATTTCATAGTAGTTGTATACTAGATGTTACCTAGTTTGGTTTCATTACCAAACTAGATAATATCATCTGTGCTAATAAAGAGTGGGGGGTGGGGGTGGTTCTCATTTTATTTATTAGTGGCTTGCGCTAACAGTATTGGTGGGAATTATCTTGGTGATTCACTGATTGGGCTGTTAATATTCTCTTATATTAGAATGGTCATAAGCTGAGGAGTACCTGTATTTCACAGGAATCTACTTCAGTACAGTTGTCACTACACTGCAACAGTTCTAAGAGCTTATAAAATCTCAGGATGTATTTTAGAGGACATATTTCATGCAAAATACAAGCTAGGCATTGTAGGGTCACTATCCTCTCATGTAAACTAATCCTCAAAACATCTAACCGCTATGAAGATATCAGTATTGTATAGTAAGCTATCTTAATGATTTTGTCATAAAGAAACTCTTAGTAAGTTTCCATGAAGCCATCAATTTTTCTGGAAAGTAGCTTAAGGGACCTCACTCTTAACTTACCTGCCATATTCCAGAAGGGTAGCATGAACTTTGGAATCCTCATCTAGTAATTTATCTGCTTCCACTCGTCTTTGATACTTCCTCCGTGGCTTGTACACGTCCTGGAATACAGTAAATACCCATCACACTATTCAGAATTATGCAAAGTATTGAAATAGAGTAAAACATAGTAAGCCAGAGAAATTAAGTTCCAAGGATGCCTTTTTTCCCCAAGATGCAACTGGACTTTCTGGTTTTTCTTTGAAGATGTTTCATTTCTCATCCAAGGAGTTTCTTCAGCTCTCTGAAGCTTCTTGGAAGAGAAGCAAAACATCTTCAAAGAAAAACCAGAAAGTCCAGTTGCTTCTTGAAAAAAGCACCTTTTGGATAACCATGACCTGGATGACTGAGAATCTCCATAGACAAAGAAATTAAGGTACGAAGTAAGAAAAGTAAATAGAGCTAAATTTAAGTAATTTACAACACTAATATCATTTGCTGTACTTCTCCATTCTAGTCATTTTCATAAGCATCCTTGTTTTCACGTTTGTATGTGTGTGGAGAGTAAGACAGCCAGGAGGGGAGAGGAATCCTTTATGGGACTGCAGGAACAGAGCTGATATCTTTAAGATATACTGAGGGAAAATCATTCCTTGGGTTGCTGGAACACAGTTAAAATCCTGAAGATTTTAGCTCTGTTCCTGCAGGCAAGTGACGGATTTCTGTGTAACACAAGGAAATTCTTTGTTGGAGCCCTATGAATCCTTCATTATGTGGCAAGAATGGAACTATGATCCTGAAGATCTTAACTCCGTTTCTCCAGCCCAATGAAGCATTTCTTCTCAAGTGGACAGATGAGAAGGGAAATCCTTCCTCAGCCTGGAAATGTCAGCCTTGGCTGGAGGAGAGAAACTTAGCTCCATGAAACAACTCTCCATCACTAAAAACATTGTTTCTTTTTTATGGCTCACTATAGCTAATTCCCAAAATTAATGAACAGATTTTGATGAGATTCCTTAATCATTATATACATAGAAACAGGTTTTAAAATTGGTTGAATATTTTTCAGTGTTATAGAATTGGCTAGCCTCAGTTAATTTCTGATCACTCAAATGTGTTCGGTTATGCCATCTTTTGAACAGGCTGTCCAGTTTTTTTAAACAAACAAACAAACAATAAGGAAACACACAGTTGCAAACTTAAAAAACAATAAAGACACACATAGGTGCAAACTTTCTAACTTTAAAATCTGTAATATCCTTGAAAATAATAAAAGAAAAGGAATACATTCCATAATTAAATAGGACTTAATTTTGAATCACTGAAGATAATTGATCATTAATTTTCTCTAGTCTTGAATAATTATGCTTAATTACCAGAGGCTTAATTATGGCTGCTTTAGCTAGCTATATAAGGATAATTTTAGCATAATTAAGATGGAGAAAAATGAAAAACATGCATTTCATCTATAATAAGCTATTAAAAGCTATAAAACAAGGCAATGTACTTAAATTTAAGGTAAAACAAGTGAATTGAAAAAAGAATGACCAATGTATGACCCTATGAATAATCCACTTAGATTCAGATAGTAGTGATCACCTTAACTAGTTTATTTCTGGTCCTAGGAAATAGACAAGATACTTTTGATTATTACTTTTTTGACAACAATATATAACAGGAACAGATTTTATATGTGACATTGTAATACATGAATAAGCAAACTTCACCTTACCTCCTCTATCTATATGACTTTGCTAAATCAAACAGAACTGTCAAGAAAATTAATTAGTCTTCCTTGAATTGAGGTAAATTTCTAGAGATTACATGAATGTTATATCATTTTCCTGGCAAACATACTATCATTTTTTGTGCACAGATTTGATACTTTAAATTATTTTAAGAAGGGAAGCATTCTAACTACATAAGTATATTTCATATTTAAATTCTGACTAAAGTCTAGTGGTTGGACCACATATAGACCACTTTTATTAAACATTTATTTGGGATTTCAGTATCTTTTAGCTGCTATTTCTTTCACTGGATATAAAACTGCCATAAAAATGTGATTAGTTATCATTAGTTTGAAATAATTAATTGGCAATCATAAAAATCCCAGTGAATGGGCGGTCCAATAGGACCTAAACCATCCCAAAGAGACGGTTAACAGGAAGAATATGTCTTGCTGAGCTCAGGGATATCGCAAAATCCCTGAAATAAGCAAGAGAAATTCTTCAAGCCAGCGACAAAAAATCCAGCCAAGGCTGACAAAGTCAGGAAAGCTCCAAAACGGAAGGATAAGGAAAGGGAAAGTGGTTCCAGCTGGTGAGGAACTTTTACTGTTTTAAAAAGAGACTGCCTATAAAAACTTAAAATTAATCTAAATTGGAGAATAGAAGAAACAAGAGGCAGAATTAAATTTGGAATGGTTTTGGACAGTGGTTATCTTACTTTTTAAATGCTATCTTCATGGATGGAATTTATGCAAGCCTTTTGAAACAGATGAATTAAGTTTTCTTCTATTTTTTCTTTTATTGTTCTCTGTAACCTATGGACTAAAGTTTTCCTCTTTCATTGCTGTGGGTATTTTTCTAATTCATTTAAAGATTGGACTCTTTTCTAACTTGAAATACAAAAAAGATACAAAAGGGAACTAGATTTTCAACAGTGTTACCGCTGCTTAAACAATTATAGCCAAATGAAAATGGAGATAAAATGATGGTGACATGTATAAATATTTGAGTTAAAATACTTAAGTTAATATCAATTATGTTTGTTGACTGTGGAAGAGATGCATGAAAGCCTTTTTGTAACCAA